GTGGAGCTCGCTACGGTCTTCGTCGCCCTGGTAGACGTTGCGTGGAGTTGGCTGGGGCGCAGACATTGGAGTAGTCGTTGAGAGAGTGTTGTTGTCATTGTTGTGTACATGATCCTTGCTCTCCTGCTTGGCCAGCAGCAGTGTCACCAGCTCGTCCACGACTTTGGAGCTGCGTAACTTATTGCGTTGCTCAAAGATTCGATTAAAGTAGGCGCTGGTGAACATACCGCGGTAGTTGAGCACGGCCACCGACGCGAACGAGGTGACCAGTAGCGCTAGCATCAGCCATCGCTTGGTATGCGACGACCGCGACCTCGGCGGAAGACGTTGAGGCACCATTTCTGACTGTTGCGATGCCGACAATCCTGACACTTGACAGCACGGCGGAGGAAGGCAAGTGAAGCTACTGACGTGGTGTCAATGACACCGTGTCATACACATGGGCCCTAGTCCCCGATCCAACACTATCGCGATAGTCGTCGATTCGTCGAGTGTAGCGAGGCTGGCGACGGCAATGAACTCGTGGATGCTGGAAGAAGACGTCGCTAGTCGAATTTTCTTGTACCCATTGGGTCGTGGGTGATTGTGCTAGCCACGATCGCTTCAGGACACGCACGAGATGAACGAGCTTTCGTGGAGTAGATTGTCGCCATGTCTACTGCAGGTGTGAACAGCTTGAAATATAGGCGCGATTCTTCTGATTGGCGTTCCTGCGCTTAAGGATGTGATCCAGTCTCAACATCGGAGTTCATTAAAGGCATAGGTAAGTTGAAGTCGATGCTAGAATGATGGTCAATCCGTTCTTTTCGACAAACCACGGGCAGAACCACTCGCGATTCCTAACCGACACAATGAGATGTAATTTGCATGAGTAGATGTTTGATCAAGTGCACGAATAGATGTTGATCAAGTGCACGAATAGATGTTGATCAAGTGCACGAATAGATGTAGATCAAGCTCGAAGTGCGCTTTAAGCAGGGTTGGTGGAAAAATATTAAATAAAATTACGAAGGATAAAAATATTCAAAAATATTTTTATTTTCTGATGAACCTGGTAGAGCTGCATTGATCCACGTCAGATTTGTATGACTTGAACCACGTCGATTACAAGGCAGGCTACCATATAGTGACAGCCAGTACACCAATGTGAGCGTGGCGGAGGCTGTGCCCGTTGCAATCCCGTCTGCATCCGCATAAGATCAGGAGACGCTATCACTTATTTAATCGAAATAGCCGAAAAGACTATTTTTTTTTTAATTTAACGTAAGAGCAAAATTCTCACACGTCGCAAATATGCCCCCATCATTTCAGTACTTTCTCTGATTGGCTAAAAATGCGTAATGTATC